CCTACCTCTGCTCTTTGAGCCATGATGACTTCGTTGGATGACTCCGTTTCTTCGGCATTAGGAATACAGAAGTCTCTTTTGCAGAGTGGACAAGACCGACTTGAACGAATTAAAGTTCTCAGCCATCTATCAACGAAAACATAGCAACTTAATACGCATTACTTCACAAGAACATAAGTTAGAACAATTCCCTATTGTTACACCGGTCTACTCGAATTCGTCTGAAATTAAATTCACAATTACCCTCACCTGTCCAATCACTTTGTGTGGCACATTTGTCCACAACAGGGAAGTTTGTATAAGTTGAATTCTTCCTCTAAGCAGATAGCACAAGTGGATAAAACCGGGATAAAACCTGCAAAGCGCAAAAAAAAAAAAAACTGAAAAGAAACACAATACACATCAGTTGAAAATAGGAACCATACTACAAAAGACTTTGGTGTCGTTTCTTTACAAAGCGGTTGCCGAAAATGGCTTTTCAAATGATATCAATAGGTAATACGGTTTTAAAAGCGTAGTTTTTCTAAGTACTTAAAAATGTGGAACGAATGAAATGTAGGAACGTCGACAAGGAAACAAAGTATAGTCAACATTTCACTTGAAGATCATTTTTTAAACGAAGCAGTAAGCTTCCGAACACGTGTTTTTTAGCCAAAGACTATCTATTTTAATTAATTATTACCTACATCAGTTGAAAATAGGAACCATACTACAAAAGACTTTGGTGTCGTTTCTTTACAAAGCGGTTGTTGAAAATGGCTTTTCAATTATATCAATAGCTAATTACCATTTTAAGAGCGTCGTTTTCTTAGGCATGGTTTTTTGAAGTTGACTGCTGACCAAGAGCTGGTTTTCATTCGGATCGCGGGTTCATGTCAGCTTAACTTGTTGAAAACAGGGCTGGATTGTTTGGAAGCCGGTTAATGCTAACCCAGGTTTATAAGTTACCCAAATTATAACTTTTTCTCTCGTACAATTTTTTTGCTGCCTTGTATTGTGTATATGGTGATCATTAAAACTCACAGGAGGCCAAATAGTTTACAGAAAACCTCACCGCAAAGTTACAAAACTCAAATCGAACTTCTACCTTTTCCTTGGTTAGCTTAATCGTGCTCTGATCAACCTGGCCCAGGAGCTACGCTTTTAGGCTGGACTAAATCTATATATTATATTTTGTGTAAGTAACAAATTTGTCAAAAACAGCCAATGAAAATGTGCGTAGCTGAAACATTGCATCAACATGGTTCTCCTTTAACAAATTTTGAGTGCTTTTTCAAGTATTTCACCGGGACCAAAAATAAACATTTCATGTTGCAGACATTATGTCAGCTGGTCTTTTGCTGGTAACAGTGTAGTGGTCTCAGTTAGCTGGAATGATTTCATTTGCCAACATTTAAGACAATGCATTGGGGTAAATCACTAACTGCTATTTAACTGATAACAAAGTTCTTAAAAAGTAAATAGAATCAACTGCAAACAAAAAAATTGGGATTTGAACCCACAACCCTCCGTGATTTAGCCAGATTCTCTAAAAGGCCATTTCTGAGTTCTCTTGTGCCTCTGTTTCAAAATAGTCTAAGTGCGAAACCTTTCATATGAAAATGAGTTCTGCATGTAGTTTCATTTTCATGCAAATCAAAGTTATTTTCATAAGAATGGTTTTACACTTAGATTCGCTTTGAAACTGAGACTCCATCATTTAAAAAAAATTTGGGGAGTTTTTATGTTGGGCGACACAACAAATTCTACAACCATCATTAATTTATAAATACCCATTAAGATTATTTAGGTCGAACACTTGAGCTGTTTTGATAGTCCGGTTAGGCCTAAAAAATTAATTGACAACATGACTTCAGTTCTAACAAAAACCTCAATCAGTTATATATTGTACTAACTCCTGTCCTTCAGAACAACCCTGGCCACTAGAAGGTTATTCTGACATCAACATTTGCATCGTAAGGCATTGAGCTATAACAACATTATTTATTGCACTCAAGAAATCCTCGAATCAGAGGATAGAAATCACACACAAGAGAAAAGGCTTCAAAGCGCTGAGGTATTAGAACTGCATTTACCATGCACTTTGTCAGATGACTTGTACGATTAGCTGATCAATGACCAGAGTCCATGACTAGCTAATGGTAAGGCCAGTAACACATGTCACTTGGTGAGTAAACTGAGTGAAACTGCAATTTGGATCTGAGTAAACCATTTGATGCTTTTCATGAATTCACCATAATTCTTGTATCAGTAACTAAGTATGGAGATTTGGCCACCTCCATAAACTGTTTCATTACCCATCGCTCGATTGACCCAGTGCAGTTTTTGGGAAAGTAATAAAATACATCCAGATATTTTACTCTCTGACTTAATTCACGTTCTCTGTGTTTAAAAAAATACCAATATAATAACAAGAATTTATTTGAAGAAAATTTATAAGCCCAGTTATTACTCTTTTATTATCTTCTAGGTTCACCATGATTATGAGGCAATTATTTCAAATATATCTCTAACAATCTTATACGGTGCCAAACATCACACCCCACCCCAGTATTAACCATAATGTCAGACCTGGCCCCAGGACCCCCCAGGGGCACATCAACTAATCAAATACCCAGGATTTGCATGGTAGTGGGGAAAGGGCAGGGTGTTGTCCTGTTTCTTGTGTTAGTTCACATTAAATTTGTCTTTCCTCCTTCTGCTTGTCTTCTTTGATTCAACAATGAATCAAATTGGGTTCAATCTGAGACACTTAAACACTTGCAAAGCCTACAATAGCATCTGGTTTTCGGCTATTGTTTCATGCATACACCCAGGAGTGGGAAACCCAGGAGGTGTTAAGTGTCTAAAATGGCCTTGTTTCAGCAAACTAAGCAGTCAAACAACAAGCGATACACTGCAAAAGTAAGGTAACATGTCTGGTTAAGAATTTGACAGTATTTGTACTCTCTAAGAACAATGGTGAATATTCCAAAACTAACTCTTATATTTTGCCATGACCGCTATTACCACACAAGCTGGTCATCTCACAGCCGGATGAGATTGTAAAGTAGCCGATGTTACTGAACGGGTGGGGGACCTAAAATTTTGTAAATGTTTGGAATTTTCATTTTCATCCAGACGACGATCGAATAGTATACCATGATGCATCTCGTTTAGGCTTATATTATTATTGCGTACATGACGTCATCATTTATTCCACGCTCTCGCGATGAAACATGGTGTGCTTTCACGCTTGTCTGAATGAATTACTTGCTTAATTGCATGGCTTCTGCTTTCAAGAGTACCGATTTAATTTATATTCACTGCGTTTCCAAGGAGAATTTTGCTATTACAGTCAAGGGCTTTACTTATGTTTCATTGGTCTGTCGAGAAGTACATATAAGCTATGTGGAAAGCATATGTGAACGAAGATCTCTCATCCCTACAGTTGTTGCGAATTCGCCTGTGGACAAATTATTTGCTGGGGTAAGAAGCCCTGAGCTGATACAAATAAGTTCTTCTTGTGATATCACGGTAATTTCTCAAGATTCTGCGATTGTTTCAGGCTTGTTAACTGAAAAAAGTGATCTCCGGAGTTGCTTTTGTGTTTTAACTATATGCGGCATCGCAGAGGTGTGAGGTTTGTTTTAAAACAGTGAGCTTATTATTTTTAAATCAGCTTGAAGACATCCTAAAATAATGCTAAAATTCATGACCCTCCTGCTTGTTCCTTTTTACAGTGTCTTGACCCAAGTGATCTTACAGGAGATGAACTGATCAGATCATTGCTTTGGTCTTTCGAAATAGCGAATTAATGCCTGTCTCCTGCTGCTCAATACATGAGACTGAGTATGATACCCTCTGCTTGACAATCCATCATCAGAGTGCTGAGCATCTGGTGATGGAGCAATTCTCTTGCTCATCTCTCATCTGACTCCTACATTTCTTGCAGCTTAATATGTAACATAAGCAAGCTCACAACTGCTCACCTGTGTTGTGCGGTCTATCTTAGCAGTCCATATTGTAAAATTCAGACCACTAAAAGAACCAATCGGAATTCTCCTTTTCATTGTGGACCAGTTCAGTCATATAATTAAACATACTGTAATCTGACTGACTCACTGACGAACTTAGTTCCTATGTCTCCTCTGGGAGATTAGGGCCGTAAACATAATACATATATACATATTAATATATAGATTTAGGTCACCCTAAAAGCAGAGCTCCTGTAGCCCGATTAGGCTAACTTAGGATAAGGTTGAATTAATTTTGATTTGAGTTTTGTAACTTTGCGGTGGGGTTTTGTTTGGCTTTCTATTTTGAGTTTAATAATCACAAAACCGATACACACAAAAAAACATTTGCAGAGAAGAAACAGTTATAATGGGGTAAACTGGCTCCGCTTGGCGGCCCTTTGGGCCACCGGAGCTCCACTATTATATATATTCTTTTTTGAGTAGAACATATTTCGTAGAGCGCTCAACTCCGTCGATTGAGGAGCATTAACTATAACTTCACAGAAGTTCAGGTTTCATGAGTAATCATTGTTTTATTGCTACAGAACTGTTTCATATGGTACAAGGACCACACTCAGCAGGCAGTTTTAATGACTGAACTGTTATAATTGGAAAACTGGCAGTTAAATACGAAAATTTGAATGGTTGCTATAGTAGGTGCGTTACATTCAGGCTATTTGAAACAATCCGGAGAGTTGCTAGGCAACAAAAACATAATATAAGAGCGATTATATTCTGAAACTGGAAAGCCGGTAGTTAAATAAGAAAATTTGAATGGTTGCCATGGTAGGTGTGTTACATTCAGGCTATTCGAAACTATTCCGAGAGTTGTTACATAACAAAAACGTAATATAAGAGGGATTATGTTTCCGTGTTTTGAGCTAAGTTACTCTAAAGTTTTGGAGTACATATCGGTTTCTGTGGGGGCTTGAACTTGCTAATTCGTTTCTTCTGTTGAGGCTACATAGTTCTTTTTTACAGATGATTATGAACTTTTCATTCAGACAAAGACTACATTTTTTGCTAATGTTGCTGTAAGGTTTACATTTCTTAAGAATCTTCCATTTTATATGAAACGGTTCTTTGCATCCTGCAAGCTCCAAACATGTTGGGAAAGTTCTGTCTCATTTTTTCTGTTTGAGTGTCGGAAGGATGTTTTGTGGTTCCTGTAGTGTTCTTTAAAGTTTGTGGCTAGTCCAATGTAGGTTTCAGTTGTTGTCTCTGTGGTGACTGTGGCTTGGTAGATGACGTTAGTTTGGGGGCATTTTCCTTCCAGTGGGCAATCAGACTTTTTTCTACAGTTGCAGGTGTCAGGTTGAGGTGTTGTTGCATTTGCATTTGAAAGAACGTGTTTGTGGTGTGACGATATGATGGATTTCATGTTTGGCATACATGAGTAGCTTAGTTTGAGAGTGTGTCTGTTGAAAATCTTGTAGAGTGGATGGTTTTTCTGGAAGCATTTGTCGACGATATGGAGGAACTTTCTGCCAAGGTTGGTTTTTATGTTAGACTTGAAAGGAGGATTGTACCATGTAATGTCCCTTTTTCTCTTTCTTTTGTTTCTTGGAGTGGGCTCTGGATTATATGTTAGTTTGTGGTCATATCCACTTTCTTTGAGTGCTTGTTGGTAAGGGGCAATTGATTCGTTGAATACTTCTTTGCTGGATGAAATGTTAGTTAGCCTCTTATTGATGTTAAGTGAAATGTTTTTTAGTAGTGCTGGGAGATGGTTGCTCTGTCGGTGGACGTACGATAGTTTGTTATTGGGCTTCATGTATGCCTTGTAGCTTTCGTCCTTGAGGTCGAAGGTTACGTCAAGAAAGTGAACGATTTTTTTGTTTGCATCAATTGTGATCTGAAGGCCATTTGATTTAAATACATTGCTGACTTCTTTCTTGGTTTTTTCAATTTCCTTCGGGGTGGCTTTGCAAACTGCAAGACCATCGTCATGGTACAGTCCTACTTCATCTTTGAATTTGGATGTGATCAGGGACAGCATGTAAGCTCCTATTAATTCGCACATTTCTGTTCCGTCGTATGATCCCGTTGTAACATCAAACATGTCGTTTGTGTTCTTCTTGGTCCACGGTTTCTTCTTGGTTTTGATATCGATATTAATTTGAAACGGTTTCGTGGAATATCAAAACCCAAAAAATCTACGATCATTGTTAGCATCAGAACATGTTTGTTATAAACTGAGTTAATTAATTAACGTTAAACGTTGACTAGTAAAACGTGACAATCTTACTTTTCACGGGAACGTTTGTAACATGATACTTTTGTTCTTCTTGTAAAGTTATACAACAAGATCCCTTTGTTTTCTCGAAAACTTAAAGGCGATGTGCTTTCTCTTCACTGCTTTCTCTTCACTATCTAAGAAAAAAGGGAAGAAATATTTTAAGAAAACACTATCATTTCACGGATAAACAAAAACTAATCTAATTATCAGATTATTACATCTGACAGGTCGAGTCACGAAACAGCACGTTCTTATTCTGTTGCCACCTTTGGCGTCAAAAACCACTTCAAATTATGAAAGGAGTTACAGCGAGAACTTACTGTACGAACTATTCAACGAATGAATCTGAAAAGCTGGTACACTAACTTACAACAGAAGCCTCGTAACAGATGTCAATAAGTGCAGGTGCCTTGCAAACGACTTATCCAAGACGAAAACAAAACCGATAAACGGACTTCTAACAGCAGATGGATCGAAACCGACCAGTGACCGATGACAAACTTAACACGAGTCTTGCAGCCATTACCATGAAGGCTTTACTGACCAATCACTTTTAACGGACCGGACTGGTAACACCTTTGACTGATAAGCATTATTCACTACTACTAGGACTTGTTATTCACAAAAAAAATAACTCTTCCACGCCTTGCGTGCCTATGTTATAGTCCAGTCATGGTTCTCATTAAGAGGTTTTATGTTAGTTTAATTGTAGAGAAGCCATCGCACTTATGTCTACATGTATGTCTTTAAAATTATAATAGACTGATTGTTGTTATTCACTTGGATCAATTTCAGTATCTGGGCAACTGCACACCTACTGCTCCCCTAACCCAACATGTTACAATAAGTTAATAAGTTAGTGCTACTGTTGGGTTAGGGGAGGGGTAGGTGCACAGTTGCCTAGATATTAATATTGTTCCATTCACTCCAAGAGAATTGTTAATAGTACAGTGACTCAGCTACTTCTTTTGTCTCTGTTGCCAATGAGTTTTGTTTGTATGCAATTTGTTTGTAGGGAAATCTCTAAGTGCTCCAGTCTGAAACAATGTCAGCAGCTGGAAATAACAGGGATAACAGGGGCACCGGTTGATGAATGATTTGGCTGTCTGGTACTTTACATCGGCTGCTGTGTAACCCCCCTGAGTCAATATCTTCCAGTCATCTATTTCCATAGTTGAGATGGATGCTTCGTCAATAAAAATCACTTCGGTGGTTTTATTGATCATTGCTTTGTTAAAAGCTTTCTGTTTCGTAACGGTTGCAATGTTGGAGTGGTGGATGAGTCCAAGGACTGGTTGAAAGAGACTAGTCTTTCCGCTATTGGCGTCCCAAATTAGACACGGCACTTTGTCTTTGTGACGTTTCTGATTAAAGTGTAGTAACTTTAGAAAGTCGTCGCAGAACTCACTGATGTCGCTGTCCGTTGGGCTGTTTTCTAGGATTTCCCTGAAGTACTTAGGATCTGCATTTCGTTGAGGATCGTACTTTGAGAAAGCACGTGGCGTGACCAGGCCAACTTTTTCTTCTGGAATGGGACTTTCCAAAAAGCGCCTTTCTTTAATGGACCAGCAGTGGCCAGCGTTCACTTCAATAAGGTTGTAGTCGACCCTAATTGGACGTATGACTTCGCAGTCTGGATCGGCAAGAATGTCGATTACTCTTCTCATGTTCTTTAGCAACCTCCCCTTGAAAGATTCGTTCGACGCAAGGCAATTTACAAATGCACTGACCTCGCATTTGTAGGCGTATGTGTACTTCGCTTCGGATTTCTTCTTGTAGATCTTGCCTCGGAACAGTGCATACTCCAATTTCTTCATGGCGATACCAATGTCGTTTATTAGGACAGTCAATTGATCTGATAGTCGTGCGTCGTCATCTACTTTTGTAGCTCCTTGGCTTTCATCGTGAAATCCAAAAAGATCAATCGTTAGCTTTGCATCTAGAAGTTTGGTGATAGCTTCTTGTAGCGTGGAACTATAAGACGGATTTATGAGAGAACATCTAACAACGTTTTCTGTACCGCAATCGCCGTCGAGTTCAAAATCGCCAAACAAACTTTCCATTTCTCGCTGGAAGCATTTTTCATAAGAATCATTTACTAGCTCTTGAATCATAGGATTCTTGTGATCTTTTAAGACCTGGAACAGTTCTTTCATGGCAGTAGATTCTTTGCCCTCGTAGCATGGTACCTAGCAAAAACAAGTGGTATCTGATCAACTTGAGATTGTAGTAAAGTCGATATGCCCCAGTCCAATTCAGAAATGAAAATTAAGTCTCTCTCTAGAAGTCCGAGAACTGCACAAAATCCTGTTTAGTGGTATGCTAAAGGCCTCAGTGTTTTCACGGAGTCGTTGTCGGTATCGTAATCAGAAGCGCACATCGAGAAAATACAATACAAATCAAACCGACCGGTTCGGAAGCAGAACAACCATTCAGCTTCAGCTAGGTCCACCCTTTCTACTTTTCTATTTCCTTTATTTCCTTAGCTTTCTATTTTGATGTAAGAAATACTAGTATTGTAAATAATTCTAGTATTGTAACAAGCGCCTTAGTAGTGCAGTAAGTAGCGTTATTGTATGTAGTAATCATCATCATCATAATGATAAAAAAACTAGTGTAGTCTTAAATAACCACTATGCATTCCAAGAATCTATTTATAAGTGCTTAATTTGTCTTGCAGACAAGAAAAGTGAAGGTAGATGTTCGAGAGATTATTTTGGCTTTACTGTGTGTGAAAGACATTTTTCTGACTTTATCAAAGCGTTGGATTCGAAGGGAATATTACGTACGCTAAACTAGTGTGACAATCTCAGAGTGTTATGCTGGACTGTAAGTACATTTTGAGTCATCAGCTGCCTGTATGTAACTTGTTAGTTCAAGGCCCAAAAATACTTACAATTACTGTTTGTCAAGAAGGTTTTAAATTTTACTGTGGTGTTTTACGTTGAATTTCGTTTATTTTTAATTCATCGATACGTTGAATTAGCAAACGTGATAATTTTAAAAGAACGTGTCAGAACGTGCAAGGATTACGTCATTGGTAGGGAAATAACCACCGTATTAAAAATAGCCGTGGATAGCGTAACTCTTGAATTATGTTGCTCGCGAGACTATTTTGTTAGCTTCTTACTCGTAAAGAAAGCCGATTAAATTTCATCGTGATTTTGAAGAGACAAAGCTGTTGTTTATAGCCTTGGTGTCGAATTGTTCGTACCGTTCGTGCCCAGACATATCTTGGAAAAAGTTCCAGATTAAGACCATTACGTCATCGAAGATTTCGCAACATTTACGGCTTATGGTGCAATCGGCTACAGGGGGTAAACAGTTCGTGTTTAGTCGTTGTCAGTTGTTGTGCTACAGATTGATCAGTTGATAGCGTGTCCATAGTCATCAGCAAATCAACAAGGACTGCTTGCAGACAAGAAACCTAAAGGTAGGTGTTCGGGTGATTATTTTTGCTTTACTGTGTGTGAAATACATTTTTCTGGCTTTATCGAAACGTTGAATTCGTAGGGAATATTACGTACGCTAAAAAAAGGTATTACGTCAACCACATAATGTGCTGATGTTGCAGGTTTCACTTTCGCTAAGTGACAAATAATATCCTGCTTACTTTGTAAGTTGATTTCACCAGAAGTATTGGTTATTAATTTATTTAAACATTTGCGAATATTCCTTGTGGCATTAGGCAATTCAAGTGAATTCTTAGGCTTATCGTAGTGAGTGAAGAGACTTGAAGGAAAATTATTTTAGTAATTACTGAGGTAGACAAGAACTTGCCAGAACTTGCAGGGGGAAAACCCTGAGCGTTCTAAAATTAGCCGTGGATAGCGTAAACTTCGGATTGTGCAACTACCTTGACTACTTTGCTTGTCCTTTACTCATAGCACAAAAAAATATATTTTACTTTTAAGGAAGAAAGCTGTTTATCAATAGGGTTATTAAAAGCGTGATACTCGTTTCCTTTTCTATCATTCATGGGCATGTAACAAGCGAGACCATTACGTAATCGTAGATTTCACAACTGCTAAGAGCAATGTTGCAACAACACAGTTTGTGTAACAGTGGACGACGGCCAATTGTTGTCACCGGATGATGTCATCATCAGCCAATTACAGGCCATTTCTCAGCTCTTTTCGCCATATCCCCAATCAGGAGCATTTTGTCAAGTTAGCAAATTAACTATTCGAACAGAACATGGCCGTCTGTGAGAAATGTTTATTTGGTTTGTTTCTGGGGAAAAAAAGTTAAAACTTAGCCTTTACGCTCGTGAAAAGCCCTTTTAACATATGTAAATTGATAGTCGTTTGAAAGGTCAAGGTATTTTTTCCTCAGACATAAACAAAATTCTCCCATTACAAGTAACGCTAGACCCGTCTTAAGCAAAGAATGTTTCCATATCTCAAACCGCCCTCTCCCTATTCAGGTACACTTGCATGAAATTGCTAAGTTTCTTGACACAGAGACTTAGTTTCTGCTCAACAAATGTTGTCAAAGTGCAAGTCTCTTCATTTTTAAAGGAAAAAAAAATATCGTTGTGACGAGGTGGATTTGAACCCAGCGCGCTAGCACGGCAGTCTAACACCCTAACTACTAGACCACCGAGGAAAAGCTACAGACAAATGGTTTAATTTAAGTACCATATCGGAAACCCAAACGCTATAGAGAAGCTAACCATTAACCCTAACCCAGGCGGTGTACGCACTACGACTGCGATGCATTGTGGATTCAAAATTTTCAAGATGGCGACGAAGGTCGAGAAAACGAGCGACTAAATGCAGGAATGGCTCCGACCTGTAATTGGAGGATAAAAATAGTTAGTAATTAATAAGTTAAAGCTTAACTTTCAGCCACGCGTCACACTGGACAACGATATCACTAACGTCGTTGTGATGTGTGACTTCTGTTTCGTCTTACGCAGTGAAAGAAGCAAGAAGTCGATGTATGAACCTTAAAATTTCACTTACATCGGCAGGGCAGAACCTTTTTCTAGTGTTAAACAGTACCAACAGAGATGGGAAATTGTCACAGCGTTGGCGAACAGCGTTCAGTTCGGACTCAAACACTCGGAGCTATTCCTGTATTTAAACCGCTGACGGGTCAATGTACAGAAATGGCTCCGATCTGCATAAAGAGAGACTTGTCACATGACGATGTGTGGTGTGGGAGGGGGGTGGGGCTGGGGTCTGGGCGATCATGACCAGATGATATAAAGAAAAAAACCAAAGAGCTTCACCGAAAAAAAAAAATTCAAAATCAACTGAAATAAAAAGGTCGATAAAGGAACTAGACTTGCTTGATCATTACTGAATACTTATCTGACTGTCGCTGGTTATTAGCAATACGGGGTTGTTTTAAATGATCTGTTTTAAAGTTTTTGTACCGGGTTGTTTTTCATCCGACAAAACTTGAACGAATCGATTTATCGAAACTAAAAATAACTTGCTTGCGTCCATGATATATAAGGCCTAAATTTAACACTTCTCACACGTAGCTTAGTGGACATTATCGATTGATTGATAAAGTCAGCCTAAGTAGTGAGGTGCCCACCTCAGTGCATAGGATAGGGATTGGGGGGTGAGGAGAATGAAAGCATTTTCAAGGGGGGTTCGGCACTTGAACATGCTTTTTTTAGGCTTGTATGCATTTCTTCAGCCTTTACTGGTGGGTAAAGTCTATACCCGTTTTCAGACCAAAACGGCTCATTAACCCGTTTCTTTGGGGTGGCACATACCTATATGAAGGAAGTTCTCAAAACAAACCTAACTCAGTCAAGAAAAGCCACTGTTTTTCCATGATTTGCATCACCCGGCAAAAACTAGGTCAAGACACAAAATACACCACCACAATCGGACTTTTTTCCCGGTTTATGATAAATCGCTTTCTTTTCTTTACTCTGATGAACGCCTGTAGGACCTATAATTGAACTAGTTTAGTTCCTAGAGGTTAATTAAGTAAGAAAGGTCACATGACTCAACAAATACACAAATAATTTATAATGCAAACAGTAGACTCAATGCAAAACTGGCCACTAGTTGATGAATATTATTTTGCTCATGGTTAAATTTCCTTTGATAACTTCATTCTTAAATTCCAAAAGTTAAACAAAAATGAGGTATCTCATGGGAGGCTAGTGAGGCTACGCGGGCTACGTATTGCTAATCACCAGCGACAGTCAGATAAGTATTCAGTAATGATCAGGCAAGTCTAGTTCCTTTATCGACTTTTTTATTTCAGTTGATTTTGAATTTTTTTTTTTCGGTGAAGCTCTTTGGTTTTTTTCTTTATATCATCTGGTCATGATCGCCCAGACCCCAGCCCCACCCCCCTCCCACACCACACATCGTCATGTGACAAGTCTCTCTTTATGCAGATCGGAGCCATTTCTGTACATTGACCCGTCAGCGGTTTAAATACAGGAATAGCTCCGAGTGTTTGAGTCCGAACTGAACGCTGTTCGCCAACGCTGTGACATTTTCCCATCTCTGTTGGTACTGTTTAACACTAGAAAAAGGTTCTGCCGATGTAAGTGAAATTTTAAGGTTCATACATCGACTTCTTGCTTCTTCCACTGCGTAAGACGAAACAGAAGTCACACATCACAACAACGTTTAATAGTGATATCGTTGTCCAGTGTGACGCGTGGCTGAAAGTTAAGCTTTAACTTATTAATTACTAACTATTTTTATCCTCCAATTACAGGTCGGAGCCATTCCTGCATTTAGTCGCTCGTGTCGAGAAATTTCGCAGGTTATATGCTTTATTTTTCAATAGATACAGTTCTTTCCTTAGATAGTTTTTCTCGATTTCACAAGCTAATATTTGTTTAGATTTTTTCTGTGAAGAAAAACGAATCAATATTCTTCATTTCAATCTAAAACGTGGAGCCCGAAGATTCCTCCTGTAAGAGCATGAAATTTGAACCCGGTTTTTAAGAGGCTATAATTTCCATTATATTGCCCGTCGAAAGTAGAAGATAGTTGTAAGTGTTTCTACAAACCTTGTTCTACGCTAATTTTTTATCGCTCCCCAACGCGCCCCACGTTTTGTGGTACTTTTTCCGAATTGAAACCGGCATGTTTTCATGGGAAAATGTAGCCTCGCGAAGACCAAT